TTAAAAAAAAGGGGGGGCGTGCATAACCTTTAGGATGTTTATAGAGTGCTCCAGGGGGTTGGGGGGGGGGCAAAAACAAGCTTAAAGCAGTCCATTTTTCACTCATTTTTGCCCTCCACAGCCCCCAGGAGCACTCTGGAAGCCTCCTAAAGGCTATACATGGCCATTTTTGCAAAGGGGGCGGGGTTTTGCAAAGGAGGCCAAAATGCTGTATTTTCCAGATTTTCACCCGCTTTTTTGAGGGAAAAAGATTCGTCTTATACTCCGAAAAATACGGTAGCCATATTCACCTTCAGCCCTCTGGGTGTGCAAGACCCAATGCACTGTTTGGTAAGTAGACACCAGGTTAAACAAAAGTCACACCTTTCTATTTATTTTAATGAGCCCACTTTTGCCACAACTTGAAAGGTTTTTCTGCTTTTCTGCGGTCTCGCCTTTGCACCTTCATAGGGAAGCAGCAGCAGAGGAATGAACGAAACGCTGTCTCTTTAAGCAGGGAAAATGATCAAATATTTATATCCCTTGGAACAGGAACCAGCCTGTGCTTTCAAAGCAGGGAAATAAAACATACCCTATAGGATGTTCTCCTGCGTCTCATTTAACAGCTGGACAAATAGATTATAAAGGTGCCCAGTTAGTAAGATGGAGCATATGACAGATGGTTATGACAATCACACCGAATTCTGTGCCTACATCTTGCCAACATTTTTTTCTTTTTGCTAAGCCCAGCTGCTCTATCTTTACTAGCAGCAACCCATTTCGTTCAGTGTTTAAATAGTGAAGCTTTTCCTAGCATGCCCATCAAGTTTTTGTCTGAATTTCTATCCATCAGGCTAATATCAACAGAGCTAGAGCCAGTTTCAATTGCTCTGGTGTGTTCCATATCTGAGATTTACAGCTACTCACTGCATGTATTGATGGACAACACACTGTCTTTAAGGTAAGGGTTCCCCTCGCACATATGTGCTAGTTGTTCCTGAATCTAGGAGGCAGTGCTCGTCTCCATTTCAAAGCTGAAGACCCAGTGCTGTCCGAAGACGTCTCCATGGTCATGTGGCTGGCATGACTAAACGTTGAAGGCGCATGGAATGCTGTTAGCTTCCCATCAAAGGTGGTTCCTATTTTTCTACTTTTGAACTGCTAGGCTGGCAGAAGCTGGGACAGGTAATGGGAGCTCACTCGGTGCTAGGGGATTCGAACCACCGAACTGCCGACTGTTCTGATCGACAAGCTCAGCATCTTAGCCACTGAGCCATCGGGTCCCTCTGTCTTAGGGTGTAATAAAGAAGCACTGATTCAGCTCTGTCTCACGGCTTCTGTTCTCTTTACCCTGAGTAAGCTACAGCAATATTTCTCAATCCTGGCAATTTATACGTGTGTAGAAATCCTTCAGGCCAACAGACCCATTTCTGAAAATCCTGATTTACAGGATTCTCATGCTGGATCTCCCTACCTCCAAGCATTCATGTGGCATATATTCTGTGGTGGCTTAGCAAACAGGAAGCAAAAATACCAGTTTAAAAACTTGTTCATGTACAAACCCCCATATACAACAACAAAGAATACTAAGAGGATCAATTCAACGTCTAATTACCAAGAACCATTTGCTTAGTAAACAGCTTAATGCCTTCCAATTCTTTCCTTTCATTCTATACAATAAGTTATTTAAATCCATATATAGGAAGACCCAGGCCCTTTAGACAAGACAAACATGAGGTAGGAAAAAGGGATAAGATATTGAATGAAGATTTTCCTTCCATGTTGGAAAAAGGGATGCCCTGTGGATTCTTTAGTTGAATCTCCCCATCCAATCTATTCTTAATATTCTTCCTTTTTTAATTCCAACTATCACTTTCTAAAATAGGTTAGAACTATGCAGCAAAATATCAGAAGACTGTTCATTTTAAAAAAAACAAGCAACAAAGCAATTTGTTAAAGATAGCAGCTTGTATTAATCATAAAGTACTCTTCAGCCAAAGACAATAGGAAACCGAAACATATATGTAGTCCAGGGGTGTCAAATTCAAGGCCTGGGGTGTTTCGATCTGGTCCGCGGGGCCACTCTGGAAACAGTGAAGAATGAGCCCATGGTGGCTCTGCCAGCAAAGCGGAACTCAGGAGGGCCACGCGTGGCCTGCCCAGGCTCCATTTTTGGCTGCAATGGCCTCCTGCAGCCCTATGCCATCAAAAATGGAGCTTGGGGAAGCTGCATGCAACACACCTGGGCTCCATTTTCAGCTGCAACAGCCTCCTGCAGCCCCCTGCCAGTGAAAATGGAGCCTTGATGAGTGATGTTGAGCTGGCCACCATCCACCCCCTGGGCACACACCCCTCTAACCAATTTAGGTTAACCCCCTCACCCGGCCCACAGAGATCAAACACAATCCTGATGCGTCTCTTAATGAAATTGAGTTTGACACCCCTGATCTAGTCAATCCAACTCTCCTTCCAAAGCAAAAAGGGACTCTACGAATCCAAACCATCAATTTAAAAGAGCAATAAAATTCAGTCTAGGTAAAAGGTGGGGGGGAATCAGATGCCACACTACAGTAATAGGCAACTAATTAAGTCTAACTGGAATTGAGTAAAGTCGGCGGTGCTAACAGAACTAGACCAGCCACCAACTCTGATGTCCTTCACTTCCTCAGTGATCCTGAAGGAGGCCTTTATGAGAGCACCACAGCTTCTGCCACAAGAAGGAAAATAATAACAGTGTCCTAACATTCCTTATGGGCAACAGCTGCAATGACTAAGCAAGGGAGAACAGGTGGAGAACCTGAGGCCACCAGGTGAGTCTTCTAGCCTATGATTAAAGCTGCAAAAAGACCAAGAACCACAAGCTTAGTTTTCAGCCAGAAGCCGAAGAACCAGATCAGGCTCTCCGAAATTTTATATGTGCTCTTGATGATGGCTAGTCCATGGTATCCATCATTAAGGGCATAAGGCACTGCAGTAATCCTCACTCCTCACTATTCTTTCCTTATCTTAGTATTACCCTATTATTATTCACAGATATTAGCTTGGGTCCTATTAGAATCCTAAACACTCTGTTAGTGTAACAGAAAAAAACTCCAGGTTACCTAAACCACCACAATGCCAAAAATAATACATATCAAATTATACAGATGGCAGAGCAGGCTCATTGTAATTACAAGTATTAGAAACAAACAGTGCAGGGTAAATCCACAGTCTCAAAATTCTTCGAACTGCTTTGGGGGATATGAAGTTACTGTGCCTCGGCTGAGATAAGGCAAGATCTTTTTCTCAAAATATTCAATAAACAGTAACAAAGCTAGGATTTTTTTAAAAAAAAGGGGGGGGGGTTCTTCCAATTGTTTTGTAAAGAAAAAGTGAGGTGTTTTTTTTTTAAATAAAAAATTATATTAATTTTGATGTGATGGGAGAAAAAGCTGCCCCCTATCACTTATCTACCTTCTGCCAAGGCAAAAAAAAAATGCTAATTTAATTGAATCATCATATGGATGCATGTCTGTACATGTATAAAATAAGGAAGCAGGACTATGTGACAAAACAAAACAACGTCTTTAAGGATTTTTGGATTCGGAAGGTCTATCACCTACATTATACAGTTAGGAAGGCTCTAGCAGCGTGAAAAATTCACATTGGTCCCTAGAGAATAAAGTGCTTTTCACATCCACCCATCCAAATTCCCAGCCAATAGATATGTTTTCTTCTCTCAAAATAATCCTGGGTTGTTTAGAAGCAGGTGGGGGTAGAAGATCATGAAGCAGACTATATTCCTTTTACAGAACTTACAGAAAGCGTGGCTGGCCGATCTATGGTGGGGTAGGAAAGAATGGCATCTTCCTTGAGATCCATTTGAAAACAATTCTTAACGGGATAAAGACAAATAACACTTCCTGCAGAGTGCTCCCTTAAATGCAAGGCAATACTTCACAATATGAATTGTGGCAAGTCCCACCAGTTCATCCTGTAGTCTTTTAACCGCTGTTGCCATCCACTCACATGTGAATTCTGCTTCTCTCACCCTTCCAGCACCCACCACTTCTAAGTACAACAAGGATTATCAATGACCAGCATGACATCAATGCCATAAACTTCCAGGAGGTCCATGAGAAAGCTACGGTCGCCTTGAGGATCCAAGCCCATTCCACGGGCATGGTCAGCTGTCAATGTCTTGTCCTGGCTGGCTGATATCTCCATCAACGTCTGAAATATCCGGTTATTCTGCTCCATGAAGAACCTTAGAGACAATGTAAAATGGAGACGTATGAAGATGTGTAAAGCCTAAATACATTCTGCTTTCATATTAATATTACCATGTCGCTATTTTTCCAGATTAGTGAACTACAATGTCAACCTAACTTTTAACATTAACTTTTAATGTTGAGGACTCCGACTTTAAGCAGACCATCAGAGTAATAGATCTGACTCGGACGTCTCACCGACATGCTACTATGCTTCTGTGAATATGTGGCCCCATGAAATACGGATTCCCTAATGGCTACTGAGACTTGCAAACAACCATGAAAAAAACATGTTTTTCAGCGATAGCTGCCACAGATTGGGTAGGTGTGTATGGGGGAACTTCAACCTCCATCAATGAAGAACCAACTGCAATCAGGTAGGAGGAGACTTACAGAGGATAAGAAAAGGAGATCAAAGGAAATAAGCCCCCCCAAATCACAAGAATGGCTTGGAAATCTCTCAAACAAACGTAGTTCATTGCTAATTTCAAGCAGTGCTTTGGAGAATCCCATCTGAACAACTTACAAGATGAAGAGGTCCTCTTCACAAGAACTACAGTCACCATCTACTTCCTGGGAGTACATCAGCATCTGTCTGAATGAGGGAAACATATATACTCGTCACATTGACAGATTTCACAACTGATGCCCTATAGCAGGGATGTCAAACCCAATTTCACTGAAGGTCATATCAGGGTTGTGTTTGACCTCAGGGTACCAGGCTGGGCATGGTCAGCTCGACGTCACTCGTGTCAGGGGCAGAGGTGGTATTCTGCCGGTTTGGACTGGTTCACCAGAACCGGTAGCAGAAATCGCGGGTGGCCCCGCTCACTTGCCCTGGCTCTATAGCATCCCATTTAGGCCCTTTTTTAGCCAAAAGCGCACGCGTGGAAGGCTGAGTGCATGCGCGAAGTACGGGAACTCACATTTGCAAACCGGTAGGGAAGGTAAGTGAATACCACCCCTGGTCAGGAGCACCTGTGGTGATGAAAATGGGCTCCTGAGCTCCATTTTTTGGCTGTGACGGCTTCCTGCAACCCTCTGACAGAGAAAATGGAGCTCAGGAGGGATGCGGGCTGTCCTCCCAACCGCCGTTTTTGCTGGCAGAGGCACCACGGGCCAGTCCTTTGCTGTTCCCAGGGCGGCCCTGCAGGCAAATCTGAGCACACTGCGGGCCGGATCCAGTCCCCGGGTCTTGAGTTTGACACCCCTGCCCTATAGCAATGCAAACAAAATATCCCAAACCAGACCCAATACTTCCTGGACATGCAACATCATTACAAAACCAAAGTGAATGGTTGGTCAGAGCCTGCAGTCAAGGAAAGTTATCTTTTAGACTTTTCTCTTTTTCAGTTATTTTGTAGCATTTTAAAAAAGAACTTTCATTCAAACTTAATGAATGAAGCCCTCCTTATGGTTCTGCAAAGTAAACATGCTGGCAAGAAATGACCAAAATTCTGAACTAAATCAGAGGCTTTCATTCAAGCTCCCCATAAAACGTGAAGAGGAATCCCTAACCCAGTGATGTCTAACCTTTTTGTCATTGCATGCTCAAAAGTAATACTGCAATGTGTGCGCGACATCCCTCGCCCCCCCGTGCATGCGCATATGACCCTCCATGGCTCCCCTGCCCCCATGCACATGATTCCCCCCACCCCCGTGCATGCGTGTGCAACTGCCTCCGCCCCCACGCATGCACAGCAGAGACCCTAAAATCAGCTGGTTAGCAGGAGGCCTGCACTCATGCGTGGTGCAGCTGAGCTGGGCAACTGCCTGCGTATCCTCAGAGAGGGCTCCGCGTGCCACCTGTGGCACACGTGCCATAGGTTTGCCATCACGGCCTCAACCAATTTCTGGGACTACCTCTGATCATTAAGTCTCTGATACTTCTCCTTGTCTGCGCTGTTGATCTTCAGAAGTGGTTGCAGATGCTCATGGTGCGTCTTTACATTCTGGTTATCTACATAGACATCATAGAGATCCTGCTTCTCTTCGAAGATTTTCTCTGTTGTGCCTGGTGGAGAAAAAAACACGCAAGACAATGGGTTTGCATCCAAATTAAGTTAAATGCATGTGAAGATCAATGAGATGTCAGCACTTCAGTACAAACAGCCATGCTGAGCATGGGCTGAAGTTTCATTTATGTTTTTATTCAGCCTCCAAGGCAGAGGTGGGTTTCTACCAGTTTGCACCTATTCAGTAGAACCGGTTTGTCAAATCTACCGAACCAGTTAGACGAGGTTCCACCAGTGGACCCGGAAAGCAGGCCACACCTACAGAAGAGGTTCCAAAAAATTTTGAAACCCACCACTGGCAAGGATCTTGTAACTTG